AGCTTACCAGCGTCTTTCTGTAGGTTCCCTATTGGTTGACCTTACGGCCGCTTTTTTTACTCTACCATTAGGCAGCTGGCATTCGACCTCCCAGAAGAGCAGGAGGCCCTTGATGAAACACTCAACGCTATGGAGCTGCCCGCCATCCTTGCCCAGGGGATTCGCATCCAGTTGGCCCAGGGACCGCTCTTTGAGAGGCACATCGACAGGCCTCACTTGCTGGCTCTGCTGAAGGATGCGCAAAGAGGTTCCTTCTGGGCCGTCAAGGGCGCTCAAGGATATGTGATTCCGAGAACTGGCGCGGGGCCAGGCACTGTTATGGCCACCGATCGGTTTAACGTGGCGTTTGCCAGTGTGCAGCAGGAGATAGAGGCGGAAGCAGCCGCTATGGGACTGGAGTGGAGACCGCGTGCGGGGGCCAAGATCTTTTCGCAGGGGGGGCCCGATTCTGCCCCCATTATTTCTGGGTCATTTGTGGATGACCTCACCCCCTCGGTCACCTCGCAAGTAGCAGGTGAATTCATTTCCAGGCTTGCCTTGCTAATTGACATTGTATACAGCGTATGTGCGCGACACGGTCTCAAGTTGAATTCCATTAAACCAAGGTGCTGCTGTCCTTTAGGGGAAAGGGCGCGCAGAAGGCGCGCAGGGATTTACATGACATGGATGAACCCCACATCTCATCCACACATTGGGGGGTCAAGGTGAAGGTTGCGCGATCCCAGAAATGTGTAGGCATTGTTTTGACCGACGCACGCAACGAGGGGGTCGAGCTCACAGCGAGGAGCATGCAAGTCAAGGCTGCCGGCCGACCCATCCAAAAAGCACTTGCTCCTCTGGAGGCCCTGCCCCTGCGGGCCAAGGTCCTGTATTCTGAAGCCTCCGGCGAGAGCAAGGGGTTCTATGCGTGTGCACGATGGAGACCCTTCAGTGGCACATCAAAAAAAAAAAGGTTCGCATTTTCCGCGAGTTCATCTACAGATGTGCGTTCGGTTTTCCTGCTGCGAACTCCAGCGAGTTTCAGGTTTCGTACGAAAAAATTCCGGCCCTCGTGGACCGCGTGCCCTGGGGAGCTGTGGTACACATAAACAGACTTCGTTACTTTGGCCGACTGTTGACTAAGGCGCCCCCCTTTTTGAGGCACCTCCTGGATGCGTGCTTGCTTTCGCGCGATGGGTGGGTCCTGGCCCTCTCCCAGAGTTTCGATTGGCTTTCCAAGTTTGTTGACCCTTCCGATATTCCTGGGGAGGGTGCCTTAGACGAATGGATGACGGCAGTGCGTTTGGATATCCGCCGTTGTCGATCCCTGCTGACGACTACCATCGCAAAATCCAGAACATGGTGGTCAGACCGACACCAGCGATACATGTGGGAGGAGAGGGTCGCCCAGCACGTTAGGGGCACCAGCATGCAGGAAACAGAGGAGGAGGTAGAGCGGAAGTACCTCTGCTACGAGTGCGGACAAGTTTTTGTCTCACCCAGGCATTTGAAGGCTCATCGAGGGAAGTTCCATCCGCAAAAGGCTTTCGGTCCAACGGACGCCTCTACAAGCACTTGGCACGTGCGAAACCATGCTTAAGGGGACTGATTGCCGCTGGCGTCCGATATTCGTCGGAGGAGGTGTCCGAGGCCCGCGAATGTCGCAAAAAAGAGCAACAAACGAACCGTGCCAAAGGCCTCGCTGACGACTGTGCACATCTCCCTCCAAAGAAGGCGACAGGACCCCCCAGGGGGCCCAGGACTGTCCAGGCTGATGTGGTGGTTGCTGAACCCCTGGCCCCAGTGGTTGATCCTCCGCCTCCTCCCCCCAGTCATTTCACTCCGTCCCCGCCACCTGTCTGTCCCTATCGGCACATTCTGCTTTTATTCTCGGGACAGAGGCGAGAGGGGGATGTGCAATTCTGGATAGAGAAGTTGATCGAGCAGAACCCTTCCCCCCTCTTGGTTTTGCCTGTAGACATTTTACACTCCCCCACTCTTGGCAATCTGACTGATCAGAGGACGATTTCGTTGTGGCTAGGGTTAATGAAAGACGGCTGGGTGGCCCCAGTGTGCGGGGGGGGCCCCGTGCAAAACCTGGAGTGCTGCTCGCATCAACCCAGCTCAGGATGGAAGGCTTTACTCCAGACCAGTTCGTACTGCAGCCGAGCCGTGGGGCTTGGCATATTTAACCCCCAGGGAAAGGACACGTGTTGAGTTCCTAGTGTGCGCCTGGAAGAGTGGAATCCCCGCTCTCATGGAGCACCCTGCTCAGACTGCACACGGTGAGGATGTCCCCTCGAGTTGGCAGCTCCCAATCTTAACCCGGTTGCACACCCAGCCAGGTGTGATCCTTCACTGGGTCGACCAGTGTATGTTTGCACGGTCCACCCAAAGACCCACGGGACTCCTGGCCAACCACACACCGTCCATGACCAGGGTGCTTAGGGAGCTGCCACATCGGGGGAGATGCACTCACAGTGTCCACGCGAGTGTCCTGGAGGGGTTTGGCGATAGTGGAGAGAGGCGCATCCCCAGGGCCAAAACGTATCCTTCGCAGTTTTGCCGCTTCCTGGCTGGATGTTTGTTCGAGGATGCCACCCGTGGGTTTAAAGTTCCTGGCGTGCCCCCGTTGGACCTGCCCGAGGATGTTGCCCCGTTTGCTGTGCCTCTGGACCTATATTTTAATCTCCAGCACGGGCGGGAATACGCTCGCACGGCACCTTTCTCATCTCAGACCCCACGGATGGTGCGCGCGGCACTTAACACTCGCAGTACCTCTAGTGGTCTTGGCCCCTTTTAGAGGGAATGGTCCGTGGGCTCCTAGTTCTGTGTGCCCCCCAAGGGTGTGCGCAGCACCTACTCTTGCTGTAACTTGGGGGGAGTGTTTATGCTGTCGTGTGCGCGGCACTTTACTTCGCAGTATCATAAGGAAGGGGGCCCCTGGCTGTTCTCGTTGTTTTACTTCGAAGTACTTATGAGAAGGTTGACAGCGCCAGCTAAGTCTGGCTTCCCCTCCCCACCCGTTTTGGTGTTTGTTTATCTCGGGTCCCAAGCGCAGTGTCCTAAAAGTCGCGCAGCTGACCCTGATCTACGCCTTCCAGACGGTGGTCGGTGACTCCGACCGTGCCCTCGAGGACAGGGCTATTTAAATCACCCAATAGCGGAGGGCTTGGGCCTTGTATATGGGCGGGGGGGGATTCATGAAGATGCACGTGGAGGACGCGCCGCTGCCGCGATCGCTGCCTCCCTTTTTTCCTCTTGTCTATCGCTGCTCTCTGCTCCAGCTGTGTGGGACTCAGACTCTGTCCCTAAGGCCGCGAATGAAAAGGACGAGGAGGAGGCGGAAGAGGAGGAGGAGGAGGAGGAGGAGGAAGAGGAGAAGGAGGAGGAGGAGGGGGAGCGGGAGGAGGGAGGAGGAGAGGAGGAGGAGGAGGAGGGGGAGGAGGAGGAGGAGGTGGAGGAGGAGGAGGAGGGGGAGGAGGAGGAGGGGGAGGAGGAGGAGGAGGAGGAGGAGGAGAAGGAGGAGGAGGAGCAGGAGGAGGAGGAGAGGAAGAGGAGGAGGAGGAGGAGGAGGAGGAGGAGGAGGAGGAGGAGGAAGAGGACCCACCCACCCCCAGCAAATCACTTCCTTCCGTGGCGTGCCCCACGCCTCTCGAGCTCCCCTCCGGCCGCGCACGCTTGTTCCGTCGGCGGCGAGGATGTGGCGGTCCACTCCAACGCGTGGCAGTTCGGGACAGCCGAACGGCTAATTGGCCGGCATGCAAGAGAGGGACAAGTGACAAGGACAAGGGCGGCCGCGCAGAGGGGGGGGGGAGGGAAGAGCACTCAGACGCGGAGGGCTTCCGCGTCGAGCGGGCTGGGGCGGCCGGCCGTGGCGGCCGCATGCGCACGTCCTGGGGACGAGGCGAGGAGGCCGCCACGGAAAGGGATGGTTCGGCGGGGTTCGGTGAGGCCGCCCCTGAGGTCCGCGTGGGTGCCGACGCCCGTGGGCTGGGAGGAGCGTCGGATCGTCGTTCGCGGGAGCTCCCGTCGGGCCCGCCTGCCTCGAGATCTGCTTCCCTTGTTTGGGCGTCGTATTCGGCGTCCACTTGTTCACGCCGGGCGATTCTGCTCTGCTTCGGGCCCCAGGACCTTCACACGTCGATCTGGCCCGAAAGATGCCAGAGTCGGAGTCGGAGTCAGAGGCAGCATGCGCCGGAGCGCGCCCTGCGCGGCCCGAAAGATGCAGCAGCCAAAAGCGGGGTCCAGGGACCAAGCTGAACGTCTTACGACCTGGTACACATCTCGTGACGTCGGATCTCGAGGTCACAGATCTGCTCGACTCTGCTTCGACCCACGCCCGACGCAGCCGCGACGCACGAGTGGAGCGAGCTGCTCCGGGCCCCGAGATCCGACACCGCGGGACAATTAACCATGTTGGCCTGCGGGGCGAGAGCGCACCTCTCCCGGCAAAAGCTATTAGGGCGGGCTGCGCACAGCTCTGACTGGGGAGGCGGGGCGACACCGGCGGGCGACACTGCGGGACAGACAACTTACCCCGCGAGACACCAGGCTCGGAACCCGGGACGACCCGCTTCCGGCGCCACACACGTCGCCCCGCGTCGACCCGCGAGGGCCCCCACGCCCGGTGCCGAGCAGACAAGCTGCAGCGCCCCGCACCCCAGGCCCGGGAAGCCAGACCCCCAGCCTCATGATCTCTTCACGACGTCGACCCCTTAAGAGATCTCGACCTATCCTTGAGTCGGGCGTGCCCCCCTACAGGGGGATTTTCGCCGGGAAAAGAATATGCAACAAATGCTACACAATGGCCAAGATTATTCTAAAAAATAGTCCCCGGACTAGCTTTTGACTATTTTTGACTGTTCCCCCCTGTAGAGGGACAGGCCCGACTTAAACCCATCCCCAGGGACTGGCTCCTCCTCCCGAGTCGCAGTCTTGACGGTCCCGAGGGCCCCTCGGAGGCCGACGCGCTGGCGAACGACCTCCCGCCACGCTCGCGTTCGCAGCGCGAGGGGGGCCTGGGCAGGGCCCCCCCGAACGAGCATCCGAAGAGCAGTACTTGAAGAGCCACCAGCGAGCCAGCGGTCGCCCCTCGAGCACCCGCGGCAGGCGCGCCTCCAGCGCCTCCGCGGCACCTTCTGGCATCCCGGAACGCTGCGGGGACCGGACGCCCTCGGAGAACGACCCGAGGCCCCAAACCCGTGAGGTGACCCCGAATCCCCACCGACTCACCGCACGGCGTGGTCACCACACCGTTTTGGGCGCCGCCGCGGCACCGCGGAGAGCGGGGTGCAGGCAGCCGTCGGCCGGGAAGGCGGCCAGGAAGCCGGGCCGCAGCGAGCGGAAGCACGGGGCCTCCTGGCAGAAGCGCCAAAGCTCCGCCAGTGCCTTGGGGGGCGCCTAAAACAACAATTATCTTGGCGAAGGACCCAACCATATGCAGCAGTGAGTGCCGCGTTATGGGTACCGCACTCGGTGGAATCCCCTGTGGGGCCACAATCCTGAAGAGGGGTGTGCCAGAATCGGCTGGGGGACGCATGCAAACCCTGCCGCTGGGGCCTTCGGTGGAGCTCCCTATGGGGCCACGATCCTCGTGAGGGGTGTGCCGAAATGGGCTGAGGGACGCATGCAAACCCTGCCGCTGAGGCCTTCGGTGGAGCTCCCTGCGGGGCCACGATCCTCGTGATGGGTGTGCCGGAATCGGCTGGGGGACGCATGCAAACCCTGCCGCTGGGGCCTTCGGTGGAGCTCCCTGCGGGGCCACAATCCTGAAGAGGGGTGTGCCGAAATGGGCGGGGGGACGCATGCAATGCCGCTGGGGCCTTCGGTGGAGCTCCCTATGGAGCCACAATCATGAAGAGGGGAGTGCCGAAATGGGCGGGGGGACGCATACAAACCCTGCCGCTGGGGCCTTCGGTGGAGCTCCCTGCGGGGCCACAATCCTGAAGAGGGGTGTGCCGAAATGGGCGGAGGGACGCATGCAATGCCGCTGGGACCTTCGGTGGAGCTCCCTGCGCGGCCACGATCCTCGTGAGGGGTGTGCAGAAATCAGCGGGGGGACGCATGCAAGCCCTGCCGCAGGGGCCTTCGGTGGAGCTCCCTATGGGGCCGCGATCATTGTTAGGGGTGCCCCAAAATGGGAGGGGGGACGCATGCAAACCCTGCCGCTGTGGCCTTCAGAGGAGCTGCCTATGGGGCCACGATCCTCGGGAGGGGTGTGCCGACATGGTGGACATATGCGGCGAGCAGAAGCAGGAATGGGAGGCTTTTTGACTGTACTTAGCTCGTTGCAGGTAGCTTGAGCGCAGCGGCCAACAGGACTGGCACAGGCTGCACACGAGAAGCCCGAGAGCATGGACGCTGAGCTGTTTCCGCTCTCGTCCCGAAAACTGTCGGGAGAGAGGTATTGGCGCTGCGGGAGGGGAAGAGAGGAATCATATAAGAGTGAGGAGGAGTTTGCAGCGCAGTGCGAAGAGAGACATCAGCGGGGCCCTGCTTCGTTGCCCATAGCAGGGCAGCCCTCGAGGCAGAGAGCAGTGCAAGGCTGGAAAAGGAGAGACCTGCCTAGGTGTGCCGTCCAAGTTTCGGTCGGCTGAAGGAGAGGGAAGAGCTGGAAGGAGGGCCAAATTGGCCAGGCCGCCGCGCGGCTGTCCAAACCTCCAGGGGAGGAGAGCTGGACTGGAGGAAGGGCGGGGGATTCCATAAGAGGCGGGGGGAGGAAGGAGGGCCAGAATGTCATTGCCGTGCTGCAGGGCGGCCGCTGCAGCTGAAAGGCCTGTGCGGGCCGTCCGCGACGGGGAGGTGGGTGTGCCTGGGCGCTAGCCGAGACCAGACAACGGAGACCCACCTCCGCGTGGCCCCTCACAGGCACACAGGGACCAAGGGGACCCTGCTACACCTGGACGAGGGCCAAAGAGACAAGCCGAGGCACAGTGCCGCGGTCCTCCCACGAGGCACATATGCTTGCCGCGGCCATTGACTCAGCCGCACAGCCAAGACGCACTAGGGCATGGTGCCTGTCTGCATATATGGCACCTTCGCTGGCCGCCTTAGCCGAGAGTTACTCGGCGGGGATGTGCTGTAGCATCGTCCTTGCTTGCCACAGCTTAGGATTGGCCGTGGCAGTCTGGCTAGGACTGTCTAGGTAGTGAGCTGCCAAGGTGAACCAAGAGTATTAGGCCAGCTCACCACCTAGGAGACTCAGCCGTGGCGAGTCTGCGAATTGCTGTGTGAGCTTAAGCCGATCGCTGTTTAGCGAGGCTGCTAAAAAGTGCCGCGTTGGCCGCACTCGTGCGGCAAAATGAAAAGTCGCGCCCATGACCGGCAACTACTCTTGCACAGGCCCTCCAAGGGGGGGCCGGTAGAAAAAAGGGTGACTAGGTGGGCTGCCGAGGTATGTATTAGGCTGGCCCCGCCCCTGTGTGGCGCATTGACGGTTGCACCATGGGCGCCCATCCCATGTTGACCTGAGATGGTGCCGACTGGCGCCGAAAGAGTTGCAGTGAGAATGTGTACCTGAAGGACCCACTGCGGCGGACTGCATGTCGGCTCGGCCGACCTTAAATTGGAGACGGGCGTCTCCTTTGCTAGAGTTTGGCTCATGTGGTGGCTTGGGCTGTATAGGTGGTGGGCTGCCGATAAACCAGGATCCGAGAAGTGTGCTAGCCCACCACCTATGCGTGAAGACTCAGCCGTGGCGAGTCTGCGAATTGAGATATGTGAGCGGCGTTTAGCCGCCTCGCTGTTAGCGGGGCTGCTCAAAGATGCTGAGCCGCACTATGTCGGGATAGGCTGGATGCTGCTAGACTTGCGTGGCCTACTACTCAGCTATGCAGGACGGCTCGACCGACCTTGAATTGGAGCGGCATGGCTCCAGCTGTTTAGGTGGTGGGCTGCCGAGGGAAAGAGAAACCAGAATAGGGTAGATGGACAAAAGGAGAGTATTAGGCGAGCCCACCACCTATGAGGGCGCGCTGCTAGTTGCGCCGAGGTCGTCTAGGACGACCTAGCAGGGCGCTGACTGATGCAGCACTCTCTGTGGCTCGCTCAGGCACCGAAGGGCGACGGGTTGAGCGTCGGATGCGCCGGGGCCCTTTCGGATGCCGCGCGGGCGGCAGCCGAGAGCGCCGAGAGACCTGCCGCTGTCGCCGCCGCTCGCGCCTGGGCCTCTTGCGCGGCAGCCTGCTGCTGGTTGTAGTGGTCCCGCAGCATGGCCTCCACCTCAGAGATGGTCGCCAGGCCTGGGGTCTCGATCCACTCCCAGTCCCAGGTTTCGACGACCTGGCCGTCGATGACGTCCAGCGACTTGAGCTTCCACACGAACGGGTAGAGCATGCCGTTGGGCATCTTCCACTCGCCAGGGTATGTGGAAGGCCACCACTTTTTGAACTCCCGTGTGGCGGCCGTGTATTGGGAGCCCTGCCATGCCGAACCAGCATACGTGTCTCCTGAGAGGCCGAAGAGCTCCCGCGTGTTGGGCGACGCCCTGCTGGCCTCGGCCGCGCCCGCATCCGACGCAGCCGCTGCGGAACCGCCCGCAGGAGGCATGGGCACCATGGCGGCGTGGGGCGCGCTGAGAAAAGGGGGGAGTGCCGAGGGAACAAAAAGAAGTAGCCCATAAGAAGTGCCGCTGTGGCCTTCAGAGGAGCTGCCTATGGGGCCACGATCCTCGGGAGGGGTGTGCCGACATGGTGGACATATGCGGCGAGCAGAAGCAGGAATGGGAGGAGGGAGGAGGGGGAGAAGGGAGGGGGCAGCGGGAGGAGGTGAGACGCGGGGCGAAACGAGAACCCAACACAACAGGATGGTTCTGGGCCGTCTTCGGCCTCTGCGGGCACTCGCTGGGCCACGGGACTGTCGAAACAAAGGACTCAGGATAAAACGCGGGCCCCTTGACCGACGCTGACATCCTGGCAGCGCAACTTGTTCACAAGGGGCGTTCTCGCCCGTTTCGGGCGGTGGGATCCCACAGATCGATCCAGGAAAACTGGCTCGGGGCTCCAGTCGTGATTTTCCGACATGTTGAGTTTTCCCGCAACGCTGCCTGGACATCTCCCGAGGTGTGCTCTGACCAAGATTTCACAAACCGATCCGGCCCGAGAAGGACCGCAGAAAGTCGTTGTCCAGGGCTCTGGTCGTGAATGTCCTGCATGTTGTGCTTTCCCGCACCACTCTCCGGACATCTCCCAAGGTGCGCTCTGACCGAGGTTTCGCGGACAATCCAGCCGTGGCGAGCAGCGGTGTCGGCCTATTTCTTGTGCCTCGGAGCGCCCCCGGCGTCAGGAAGTCGTCCACCACGGCGATGCCGTCCCGCAGGAACGCCTCCTCGGCGCCCGCCCACCTGGCCAGGTCGCCGTCCAGGGGGTCCTTGGCATCCGCGGCATGCTTTGATGTTTTTCCAGTGCGCGGCCCCGGGGTCGAGGGGGACGAAAGGGTAGGGTGTAGCAAGTGGTAGGATAGAGAATCAGCTCACGTACAGTGGGGGCCAGTCCACAAGAGACCTTCCACAAGAAACCCAACCCTGCGACTCCTGGACGTCCACTGATTTTTTGATGTAGGAACGTCACGCTTTCCATAGCAAAAACGATCCAATCCTGGAGGCAAGCAGGGTGTTTCTTGGCACGGGTAGCTGGTTTCCCTGGCACCTCCACGCGCCCCTGCATCGAGGAACGGACCCCGCAGCGGGGCCGAGGCGGGCTGCACGGGGTGCATGCGGAAGCCCTGCAGCCCATGCTCTTCCCTGCCCTGCCCTGTCGCCCGGCCCAGCGGAGGTCCCGACCCCCTCCTCTGGGGCCGGCTCCTCGCCCCGGATCCACTCCTGATGGCCCCCGGGGGCCCGAGAACGGGCCCCGCGGCCCGGCTCCAAGAGAACACATCCTCGGAGGTCTGGGCTGTGGCGCCCCCCACGGCGTGGACGACGACGGCGACGACGGCGACGGCGACGAAGACGCCGACGACGACGACGACGACCACGACGTTGGCGGCGACAACGACGACGACGACGGCGACGACGACGACACAGACGAGGACGAGGACGAGGACGACATGAATCGAATCTGGGGTCCATCGAACGGGGCTGGTAAATGGGTTCCAGAGCGTCCCAAAGCACTTTCAGAGCGTTCTGGTACGCTTTGAGATGGCCGCGGCGCCCGAGATATCCTCAAGAGCAGCTGGATATCCGAGATCCTCGACGCTTTGACGAGAAAATCAACTTACTGGGGTACATCAATTCTGGAATCGATCCCCCACACTCTTGGGGTGGATCCTCGCCCGAATTGACCCTCCAATCTTGTGGCACATTGACTATGTAATCGATCCCCTACTCTTAAGTCGGGCGTGGCCCTCTACAGGGGGGATTTTGGACGAACAATAAGAATTTGCCCAAAAGTACCCCCAAAATTTGCAAAAATAGTCAAAACATCGTCGGCAGGCTATTTCAAAAACTGTTTTTTGATATTCCTCCTGTAGAGGGACAGGTCCGACTTACATAACCCGACTCGTTCATTTCTAATCGTGCTCATGTCTATGCTCGTTTCTAGTTGTTCCTGGTCTCCTCGCGGCCAGGGAGAGGCCCAGGACAGGACAGTCAGAAATGAAAGGGTCTTGGCCCCCAAAAACTTCAGAGAACTTTCGAAGACGCTGAAATGAGCAATGTGTGTGTGTGTGTGTGTCATCGATCCCCTGCTCGAACTCCGGGGGTCCTGGCCCTCCCACTCGGCGAGCCGCTGCGCCGGGTAGGGGCACAGCTGGGCCAGGCGGTCGAAGAGCCCGGCCCGCAGCTCGCCCTGCAGGCCCTCGCCCAGGTCGCCGACGCGCGCCCAGCACGCGTCGCCGCACCTGAGGCATCGCCGAGCTCGGCGGCGAGCGAAACTCGCCGTCGCTGGGACGTCCATCTCCCGCGCCTTTTTCCGGTCTCGTGCGTGGGTTCTGTTGCTCGATGGTCCAGGATGGTCCTCGATGCTCTTCGACAGGGAAAATGCACACGCCCGAGCGATGCCAAGGAAAGGGGGGATAGCAAAAGGGTAGGGTAGGGAATCAGCTCACGTAGCTGATTTGCCGGGCGCCTCCCGGCGCCGGGAGGCGCCCATTTATCGAGGAATGGGCCCAGCGGCGGGGCCGAAACCAGCTGCACGCAGCAGGTTTCGTAACACCCCCTTTCCCGATCCCCTCTCCTTCGTTCGGCCCGATTAGCTCGGCGGCGAGCGACGGGGTGAATACAGTGAAAACGTATCTGCAGGACGGGTGGTAGCGGGTACACTGATTTGATGGGCAGCTTTTCCACCACCACTACCACATGCAGGACAGAGGACGGAGGTCCTCCTCCTCCTCCTCCTCCTCCTCCTCCTCCTCCTCCTCCTCCTCCTCCTCCTCCTCCTCCTCCTCCTCCTCCTCCCTCTCGGTGGTGGAAAATGGGCCCATCATGAAAACGTATCTTAAGGATGGGTGGTAGGGACGCCAGACCCTGGGATGCCGAAGTTGGGATTTTTTGTGGAGGGGAATACAATGGAGGCCAATCCACGAGAACCCGCCACGAGAAACCCAACCCTGAGACCCCAGGACGTCCATGGATTGTTGGTGCGGGAACGTCACGCTCTCCATCGCAAAAGAATCGAGACCCGAGGAACCCAGGGCACCTGAGCATCGCTCAGCTCGGCGGGCAGCGCGGGGGGGAATCCAGTGAAATGATGGGCATCTGTTCCACCACCACTACCACATGCAGGACAGAGGACGGAGGTCCTCCTCCTCCTCCTCCTCCTCCTCCTCCTCCTCCTCCTCCTCCCTCTCCTACACATGGTAGTGGTGGTGTAAAACGGGCCCATCATGAAAACGTAGCTTAAGGATGGGTCGTAGGGACGCCAGACTCTGGGAGGCCGAAGTGGCCGCAGTGGCAAGGACGCAAGGGTATCCTAGAAAAGGCGCGCGCCCTTACTGTGCGCGTTGACTGTAGGCTGAGGTCGGGGATAGGCTTAGGTCGGGCGTGTCCCCCTGCAGGGGGATCTAGGGCGATGTTGTTCTTGGAATGCCCCCCAAATGGGCAAACACAAGTAAAAACATCGTCCCCAGACTATTAGGTTTAACTATGTCATTCCTCCTGTCGAAGGACAGGCCCGACTCAACTGCAGGCTCAGGGGGGGGGGGACGGCCATGGGGGCCACAGCGCAGCCTTCGGGGAGGAGAGGCTCAGGGAGGGACGCGTCGACCCCCGGGCGCAGGGGGGGGGGGAGGAGGAGGAGGAGGAGGAGGAGGAGGAGAGGAGGAGGAGGAGGAGGAGGAGGAGGAGGGAGGAGGAGGAGGAGGAGGAGGAGGAGGAGGAGGAGGAGGAGGAGGAGGAGGAGGAGAGAAGGAGGAGGAGGAGGAGGAGGAGGAGGAGGAGGAGGAGGAGGAGGAGGAGGAGGAGGAGGAGGAGGAGGAGGAGGGGGAGGGAGGAGGAGGAGGAGGAGGAGGAGGAGGAGGAGAGAGAAGTTTTCTAAGCCTCCTTCGAAGGCATAAAACAACTGCTCAGAGGCCGCGAGGGCTCCTGAGCAGCCCCGTCGCCTTCTGAGGAGGCCTTCCCCTCCCCATTTCCCCCCCCTCGCTCGCCGCCGAAGGCGCATCCCTATACTCCCGCGGGCGTGGCCTTGGCCCCGCTGGCCGAAACCTGCCCGGCCAGGTGGGGTCACGCGTGCCTGCGCCTGCGGGCCTTTCTCGCGGGGCCTGCCCCCACCCTGGGAGAGGGCGGCCTGGCGCGGGGCTGCGCTCTCTTGACCAGCCTCGGACGTATCCTTACCCCTAAGATTGACACGCCCAAATGCGCCACTAGGATATGTCCATATCCACTGCCGCGGGGTCGTACCCCAAGGAATCGAGGAGCGATGGATATGGATATCTGGCCGCCCATGCGGGCGGACATATATCCATATCCACCACTCCTCGAGATCCCAGGGCACGACTCCGAAGCGGTGGATATGGATATGTTCTGGCGGTGGACCAAAGGCGATGACAATATTTAGGGATGCACCCTCAGAAGCTGAGGGAACCCCTAACATCGCCATCGTGATGAGGCGATGCCCAACATAGGGATAGGGATAGGCTTCAGGCTGGTCAGCTCTCCCTCGGTTCCGACGTCGAAGGAACTACGGTCTCGCGAGTCGACGTGCAGCATCCCGTGCAAAACCAAGACCGTCTCGCACAACACCTCGTCCACATCTCGCACACTCAGCTACAAGTTCGTGCGATCTCGTGCAATATCACCGACAAACCTCGTTCAATCTCGTACAAGAGATTGCATTCTCTTGCGAAGTCACGACCCGAGCCCTCAACCACGACCGGGACACTCGAACCCACCTTCTGCGGCATGTTGCAAGCCGTGACGATTTGTGTTTGCCCTGGGGCCCCAAACTGCACGGCCCGGATCTGCGAGCAAGTGGTGATGGCCACCCACACCTGCGAGTTTGTTTCATCTCCGTACGCGAATCCCAGAAGTCCCGACCCATTCCCCAGGGCTGGTTTTCATCCCGGAACAAGTTTTCACGGTCCCAGGGCCGGGCGAGGCCCCTGGAGGCGGAAATTAACAAAAGACATCTGGTCCTGCTGTTTGTCACACGTTTGCTTCAAATCAATGATTTCTGAGGATAGGAGGCCGTTTCTCCTTAGACGCCAGCGAGTTTACTTGCATGGAGGGGTTCGAGGGGGCGTGGCGAGGCCCAGAAGAAACTCTAAACTGAGCGCACTTCACGCAAGTCGGGACTCACTTGCACGCCTTTTCGGCCCACCGCTTTTGGACAGACGGCGGAGGGAGGGAATGCCGTGCAAGTAGACTCGCCTGGGTCAAAACATCCAACGCCCTCTAGGCTTCCGGATGCCATGACAAAATTAACAATCCGATCATTGCATTAAAGATGTGCTTAAACTGTGTAAACCATGTTCTAACAATATAGCAGATATGTTTGAACATGCTTAGCATATACTTAGAACAGGTGTCCGACATCTTGGAACTATTTGGCAGCATGCTTCCTCTCCGTTAATCGACTTCCACAACTCTAGGCTGGACGATGGAAAGCACCCCTCTGGGCACCCGTCCTCGGCCATGCGGTCGGCGGCGGCCCTCAACCGCGGCGCCGCGCGCGCGACGGCTGGGCCGCCCAGCCGGCCGAGGCTGGCGAGCTTCTCCTCCGAAGAGGACAAAGCACCGATACCGCTGCTTGGTTCACCGCTTGCATGGAAAACCTTCCCCTGGGAAATGGTCGGGACGTCCATCAAGCAGTGGCGAAGCGTCCTGGCTCGCCTATAGCCCTACCGTGCGATGTTCTAAGAGCCCTTTGTGGTTTCCACGAGTCCTGTACCATCACATCGGGTTTGTGTTCTAAGAACATTGTGTTGCCTCTTAGAACATGTTTGGGTTCTTGGAACATGTCGTGGTAGGACTATAGGAATGCCGGGACGGTCGGTCCTTTTTCAATTCCAGGGACCGCGCATTGAACTAAACAACAGATCGGCTGGGGATGCCGACGCCGCTGCTCCGTGGACCTCTCTAGGGGGTGCGTTCTGACCTGAATCTCAAGGCGAATCCAGCCGTGGCGCCGAGGGCCTTTCAGGAGGCCCAGGAATGCGAAACCAATGGAAGAGTGCGTGTATCGGCACCTTCTTGGATCACCACTGGGGCTGCTAAGTGGGGTGTGGGGTCTAAGTGAATGCCAAGGTGGGTCACATCTGGCCGAGCCTATCGCACAAGTGGGTTGCGAGTGCCCCCAGCGGTCAGGGCCCCATGTAGCCCATCTGAAAGCTGGGCTATGGCCAGAGTATAGCCCGCATCAGCATCCACGTATGACTTGGAGGTGGCCAGGAGGTCTTCGCTGGATGGGCCCCGATAGACTCGGCCAACACTGGGGGGTACAAACAAATCCGTTCAAAATCGGTCCCCACACCCCTCCCGGGGTTCACCTCGTGAACTTCTCCACCCCAGTTCCGTTTTCGACGGTCCTGGGTGGGCTTCTGGCCGAATCCAGCGTACGCATGGCTTGCAAGAGCCATGTAGGCGGCTGGCTGGGGGCAGGAATCGGGGCGAAGTGGGCGGAGTGCACTTAGCCGAGCTACCAAGCCCCTTTCGCCACTCAGGTTGTAATCGATTTCTCCGCTGGGTTGGGTCAGCCATACCCACACAAGCATCGATGCATATCATCCCCCACATCTCATCAGCACAGTCGCGGCGATCCCCTCGAAATTCCACTGTCTTCGACTTTGCGGGGCCTCCCAGGTGGCGGCACTCCCTCGTCGCCACGGCTGGATTCGCGTCGAGATCCTGGCCGGATGGCACCCTGGCGAAGGGGGTCCGTGGCGCAGCGGGAGCGGCACCTTTCCCCGTGGACCCCCTCCGAAACCTGCTGCTCGATCCGCGACCGGAGATTCAGAGCTCCCGCGCGACCCCCCCCCCCCCCTTGCTGACGACCTACCAAGCCACCCCCACCCCACCCAGAGACCCGAATGTCGGGTTGGGGGGGGGGGTACGGGCTTCAGATGTGTTTTTTTCTGTTCGTGTGCCCCGACGCCCCCCCCCCACTGGAAATGGAAGGCACACCGGGGCCTCCGGGTGGGGCTGGGGTGGCTTGATGGGCGGTGGCTTCTCTGGGGGGAGTGCTTGCGGCCCAGCTGTTGGCGGCCCTTGAAGCCCCGAGGCACGATGGCATGCCGAAGCCGACGAACCTTTTTTCACGTCGGCAGCTTGGCAAGAGTCACTGCGCTGGCGAGGAAGCGAAACGGGGCTTCCAATTTGCAGACGCCGCCTAGATGGGGTCAGAGTAGATGGGGTCGGAGGATCGCCCCGCATCTTCGATACATCGGCGATGCATCGGCGATGTATC